GGGGGGGGGGGGGGGGGGGGGGGCGCGGAATAGAAGGGGGCAGGGGAAGGGGGGGGGGGGGGGCGAAGAGGAGGATGGATGCGACGACGAAGAGGGGGGGCGAGGGGGGGGCGATTTCGACGCCCACGAAAAGCGCGGATCGGCGCCTTCGCGCGCGCGCGAGCCCGCGCCCCTCGCTTTAGCTTCGCTGCTGCGAGGCGTCTTGCGAAACGCATCCTCGCGGACGCCCCGCTGCCGCGGGGCCGGCGGCTGCGGGGGCACTCGCTGCGCGGCCTGTCGCCGGCGAGCCATCCGCCGCGGCTGAAGTTCGACCCCGGCCGGGGTCCTCAGCGGCGCCGCGGCGGCGAGCGCACTGGCGCCGCAGCGGCCTCGGCCGTCGCTCGGACCTCGGCCAGCCACTGGCGGCGGCCGCGCGCGCCCCCGCGGTCGCGGAGGCGAACGCCCGCGCTGAAGGCCATCGCCGCCCAACGGCGTTAGCCCCCCGAATGTTCTGCGCGCGCGCCCTCGTGCGCGCGCCGCGCTGCCGCCCGTTCTTCCGCCCGCGCCGGTCGGTCGGCCTCGAAGGCCTGAGCCGACCGGCGCTGCGCGGGCTCTCCGGGGAACTTCGGACTCTCCATCGCGACCGCCGAAGAATAATTTCCATCTAGTGGCGCTTGGAGGCAGCCGGCGGCCCGCGGCGGCCGCGCAGCGGCAATCGGCGGCCTTTAGCGGCCCCGAAAATGACCGCGCGGCGGCGCCCGGCGGCCTGCTGGCTCCGAGAAGTACCATTTAGTGGCACTTAGCGGTCGCCAGTAGATCCGAGAATTACTGGTCAGTAGCACCTCGCAGCCGCGTGTGGCTCCGAAGAATGACGCGCCATTGAGCGGCGTTCAATAGCCCGAGATCTACCGCGCAGTTGCACGTCGGCCGTCAGCGGATCCGAAAATTACCGCTTCGCGGCGCTTAGTGACCGCAAGTGGTTCCGAGAATTCTCTCTCGCGACGCATCGTGGCCGCGTGGCCTCACCTGGGCCGCAGACGAGCAAATCGCAGCACGGGGTCACCGACCTCTGCGAAACCGCGGGCCCGCGAGGGAGACCGCTGGCCCCATCGGGGCCGCGGGCGCTTGCGCCGCCACGCGCCGCTATCTGCCAGCAGCGACCCCATTCGAAGACGCTCTACCGTTCGCCCAGTTTGCCGCATATAACCGCAGCTCTGCTCCTGGAGCCCGGCCGCCCGCGCGCTGGCGGCGACGCGCCCCCGCGACGCCGTTGGCCCGCTACACGGGCCGCTCGGGCCCGAGCGGCGACAGCGCTTCTCCGCGGCGGCCGCGGCGGCGCCCTCGGCGGGCGCGGCCCGCGCAACAGGGGGCGCCTCCGCGGGGCGTTTCGCTCTCAATCTCAATTCCGGCGCCGTCGCCGCGGCGCGCGCGAGCGCCCTGGGCCCCGCGATCAAATCCTAAACAACCGAACCCCACGGGGTTCAGGAGCCGCCCCGAGCGCCCCCCCCTCCGACCGCCCCCTCTCTGCCCCCCCTCGCCCGTCGTTTCCCCCGCGCGGCTCGACCCGCCCCGCGCTGGCTGCGAGGGCGGGCGAGGCCCGCGCGGCCCGCCATCTCCCCCCCATCCTCCTCGCCCTCCGCCCCTCCCTTCTCGCCCCTCCTCCTCCACTTCGCCCCCCCCCCCCCCTCTCGCCCTCATCGCACCCCCCCCCCCCCCCGCCTGCGCCCCCCCGTCGCCCCCCTGCGCCCCCCCTTCCGCCCCCCGCCCCGCCCCCCCCCCCCCCACCCCCGCGAACGCATGCCCCCCCCCCCCCCTCCCTCTTCGCACCCCCATCCTCCTCCGCGCGCCCCCGCCCGCACCCCCACACCCCACCCCGCCCCGCCCCCCGCCCCCCCGCCCCCACCCCCACCCGCCCACCCACCCACCCCGCCCACCCACCCACCCACCCCCACACGCCCTCGCACCCCTCGCCCTCCGCCGCCGTTTTGAAGCCCCAGATGGCACTCGCCGGCGCGGCCGTCACCCCCCCGCCCCTCGAGCTCTCCTTCGCAGTCGCTGGCGCCCGATTGCACCGCCGCTCGCGGGCCGCCCCGCGGCCGCGACAAGGCTCGAGCCCAGCGGCGACGGATGGCGCGACGCGCGGGGGCGGCAAGCGAACTGGAAGAGGACGGAGCGGGCAGAGGAATAGCGAAGTGGAGGACGAGCGGGAACGCGAACCAGAAGGGGGGGAACAGGCTGAAGATAACCGGGAAACGCAGGAGCAGGGAGCGAAGAAAAAACTGCGAGGCAGGACAGCAACAGAGAAGATGGCGCGGGACAGCTCGAACAACCTGTCAAGCACACAACGACAGTGAACACCAAATGTACGAGGACGACGCGGAGTAGAGAAAACAAGCCCTTCAAGGACCCATCATGGGTTCCCAAAAGAGGCCTTCCGCCAAAGAAGGGGCTCATAACTTCGCCCATTAAGGCGAGCGGATGAACCTGCCCCCACCGCCTGGAGGCCCACGCCCCGGACAAGGTGCTCCATTAGTGGACGGGCGACAGCCCCGCCCCCCCCGCCGACTTTCACTTTCAAGGTGACGTCCGCGGCACAAACCAGCTGGGATCCGCGCGCGTCGTGGCTCTCCGCCGGGAAGCCGCCGCCAGAACCCCAGGAACGGCCGTCGGGGGCGGCGGCGGCCCGGCCGCCCAAGTCGGGGGCGCCGTCGTTTCAGCCGAGCTGAAGCCGCGGTGGAGCCCCCCTGGAGCACGGCGCCCATCGCGCGCCTCCAGGCGTCATCTTCCGCCCCCGCGAAGACCGAGCATCGTGGGGGCCCTCTGCGAGCGTGGGCGCCAGTAGTGATGGACGTCGGCGCCGCCGGTGGTCTCGAGGACCTGGGGGGCCCCAGCGGCAAATGCGGAGTCGAGGCCGAAGAACGCGCCAGCTGGAAGGTCGGCCCCCCTGAGCGCCTGCAGCCGGAGGAGAGACCGGCAATCCGCCACGTCCAGAAGGAACAGAGCTTCGAGCTGGACTCGGGGCCGCTCTTTCGCGCAGAGCCCGCCGCGCTCCTGCTGTGGCCCCGGCAGATTGCCCCCTGGAGGCCGAGCAAGCAGCAGAATAATTGGGGGAGGTGCGTCGCCTAGGCGTCGAAGATCACCGCGCTGGCCTCGGTCAGCATCAGAAGCGGCGTTACCGGTCTAACCATCTCGGGCAGGGCACGCCCCGCCAGATGCCGCTGAGTGAACGCCGCCAGTCTCGCGCGGACGTGGCGGGGCCCACCCGCCCCAGGCAAAATTACTTCCATTGAGGTGCCAGAAAAGATGGGAGGCGTGTGTATATACACCGACCTGTTCGAGCCGATTTTTGTTTTGAGTGTTGGGCCAAAGCGGTTTTGGCGCAGTGGCCGATAGAGGGAGCAAGCGCCATGCGACCCGCCTGGGCGCGTTTGTCCAGGGGCGGGCAAGGCCGCAGCGGCCCCGGCACCCATGGCGGAAAACCGCCGCCCATGGTGGTGATGCCGTCTCTAGGCGAGGGGTGCCTCGTTACGAGGCCATGAATGCGTGCCCGTAGCCGGGCACGCGAGAAAATTTAAACAGGGCCGCGCGCTGGCCGGGGAACGCGCGCGGGCCTGCTCGCCAGCACCCCAACCCATCCACCACATTGGGGAGGGGAGGAGTACAAACTCTGGCCCGATTGGAAATGATGCCGCCAAGGGGGTTTGAGCCAAATATGGGCGACGGGCCCGCGTCCCCACGATCACCCTCCCTCCCTTCCCAACTCACCATCGCCCCCCCATTGACCCCGCCACGACCTCGCCTCCAGCCTCCGTCTCCGTTCACAGACTCCTTCCCTCCCCCCCCCTGCGTTCCTCCACCCCCCACTGTCCGTTCACCCATCTCCCTCCCCGCTCCCATGCCTTTCGCTCGGAACTCCCCGCTCCCACTCCCGTTCCCTGCGCCCGCCAGCCCCTCCCTTTCCCTCTCACTCCCCACCCGTCTCTGCCCCGATCCCCCCCCCCAATCGCTCCATCCAGGCCCCGTATCCCTGCCGCCCTCTCCGTCCCCTCTAACCCCCTAAAAAACGAAAACGGAGCGTCAAGGTATTGTGATGTGGTTTCCAATCCTACACAAATGGGGCACCACCGCCTGCCACGGCCTGCCTGTGGCCGGTTCTATCGGTGGCTGGGAGCGAAGCCCCGGGTCACCGGGGCCACAGAAATTCTGGGAGGCTCATAGGGCGAATTCCTATGGCCTGATCGGTGTATAAAATTTCGGCGGGCCGTTCTGCCTGATACATTCCGAAATTTTCGTCGTCCCGAAATTTTATACACCAATCGGGCCTTGGATTTTTCTCCTATAGTTTCCGGATTTTGCATAGTCCCCCGTGGCCATGGAAAGTGGGCGACCGCATGCGGACGCCCCCGCTGGGACTGCAGGTGAAGCTCCACAGGGAGCACAACCTGATTGAAAGGTGCGACGACATAGCCGGGGGGGGGGCCTCCGCGCCAGGGCCGTGCGCGGAGCCGCCATGCGGAGCACGATCTGTTCAAACGCAAGCAGACATTTGCACGATTACGCCATGCGCAAATATGACTGCCCTTACTGGGCTTGTACGCGGCGCTCCTTGTGGGGCGCCATCCGCTTGAAAAGGCGTGCCACAAACGGGAGCGGAGACGCCGTGGGAATTCCAAATGGGGCCACAACTGCATGGGCGCGATCCTCGCGAGGGGCGTGCCGACGCGGGCATGGAGGCGCACTTGGAGCGCCCCCGCGACGGCCGTAGGCGAAATTCCATCAGTGGCGCGAGCCGCGGGAAAGGCGTGCCGCAGTGGTTGCGGATAAGCTTTGGGGGCGCCCCCCTTGAGCCTGCGGGTGGAGCCCATTGCGGGCTGCAGTCCGCGCTGGGGGGCGTGCCGAAATGAGCGCGGAGACACTTTAAGTACGCCCCTGCCAGGATGGTCGATGAAGCTTCATATGGGGCACGATCCGTGCGAGGGGATTACCGAACTGATCACGACGTTCGCAGCAACGGCAGCGGATGGTAACGACGGTCCACCAGCAGCATGCAGCAGGCAACGCAGCGGACGCGGCTGCGAGCGGAGGGGGGCGGGGGGAGGTGGGTAAATGAGGAGGAAGACGCGCGGTGCAGCAGAGGGAAAATGAAGCACATGTAAACGAAAAAGCAATGGAAAACAAGCGGCACCGAAAAAAAAAACTGCTATAAATTCTACACCCGGGGAATGGATTGGTGTATATATACACTCCTCCGAAAAGATGATATCCTGGACGGGGAGCCCATGTGTCGCCCAGCAGCGGGTGCCGCCAGAGGTCCATCACGCCCGCCGGCGTGGACATGCCAGGCATCAGGGAAACTGTGGTCACTAGACGGACGGATGACGGGCGGCCCTCTGGCGGCACGCGGAACAACCCCGTGAGGCAGCGGGTGAGGGCGTCGGTCAATTCCGGCGCCCACAACACGGCCGCCCGCCCCGCCAGCGAAATCCACAAGCGCACGTCGTCGCCCTTCTCAGCCAAAGTGGCCAAACCCCGGGCCTCGCGGACGACCTGCTTAGGGGCCGCCGGGATATTCAGGCGAACGCGAGGGCCACTGGGCCGAGCTCGCGCGGCAGCGGGACCCTGCTGGCTTTGAGTTTCCCGCGCCCCCTCGGCAGCGGCCCCAGCTTCTCCGGGCACGGGGCCTCGGCGGCAGTCGCCGTGAGGAGGGACTCGCTGGCGTTCTGCACGTCCGTGGCTGGCCAACCCGCGCGTTGAGCAAACCCTAGCAATGACTGCACCGACCGGGCGCGGGCAGCGATGCTCGAGGCCGTGGGCTCCAGGCTCTCGCACATGGCCATGCCGCGCCGTCGCCGCAGATCGGTGGTCCGGGGGTCGTAGGCGCGCGTCCTCAACAACCCCTGCATGTCCTGCCAGGAGCGCGGCAGAGTGACCGGGACACCCGGCTGAATCAACTCAGCGTTGTTGACGGCCTGGGCAAATCCGAAATGCTGCAAGATCTCATGCTCCGCGAAATCCGACAAGAGATGGATGTCCAGCATCGCCTGGGGCGGCCAGGAAACAGTCGGTGCTGCCGCCTAGGGCGCTGCTGGCGCGGCCGCCAGCGCGGCGGCTGCGACGGCGGCGCCTGGTGCCCTTGCAGCCTCGATGTCGACGTCGATGTCGGAATCGTTTAGGGTGAGGTGCACGGCAGCCTGGGTCAGACCAGTGCCGTCGTCGACGGACGGCGGGGCAGCTGCAGCAGAGCCATCCCCTGGCGCGGGGAGCCGTGGCTGCAGCGGCGGCACGGCCGCCGCAACAGCGGCAGCCGCGGCGCCGGGAAACCTCTTGCCGCAGCGCCGGCAGCGGCCCAGCTCGTCGGCCGACGCGGGCAGCGCGCCAAACAGCGGGCACGCCGCATGTGTGCGCGCCATCTCAGGTACTGGGTAAGAGAGGTGAGCCTGCGAGGGATGAAGAGTGATGGGCGGAGCCTGAATGCGCCTTGAGCCAACCAATCCGCGGTGCTAAGATTACGCTCCGTGCTGGGCGGGGGCGATGCCCTGGGGTCGACCACCCCCTAGGAAGGCCGACGAGCATCAATATATTTGGTTTTGTAACAAGAGTCGTACATGACGGGAAGATTCACTACTACTTCTGTTATTCCTACTGATACAACGACCACCTTTACTCTGACGGATACGATTACTACTACTACTACTACTACTACTACTACTACTACTACTACTACTACTACTACTACTACTACTACTACTACTACTACTACTACTACTACTACTGCGGCTACTACTACTACTACTACTGCGGCTACTACTACTACTACTACTACTACTACTACTACTACTACTACTACTACTACTACTACTACTACTACTACTACTAAGACCACAACACGCGCGCGCGCTGAGCGGCGAAACCAACTCATCGTGAACTCAATTCATCTGGCGAGCTCAATCCGTGAAACCCGTGGAGATGTGTAGAACGAATGTGCGCGGTGCTACAACGTGAATTATATTTTGAAAACGAGCCCTCCTCAACCCGTGAAATTCGTGCAAATATCTAAAACGAATGTGCGCGGCGCTAAAGCGAGAGCTCCCGCCCTGCGCGAACGGAAGCGCCAGTCCCTCTGCAGTATCGAAAGCGTCTCTCTCGCCACGCACGCACAGACCACAAACTGACGCAAACTGCACAGTTGTTTCGGCTGCATCTACTGGAGCAGGCCCAGAGGATTGGCATGATCACCACACATGGCCCGTCCACTCCGAAGCGGGCCACGAAGAGACCGCCACCACTGATGCGGAAACACGCCACAAGCGCTTAGCAATCCCGACTGTGCACAACGCGTACGTCCCATGCTACTCTCCGACGAAACTCCCGTGTTTTCTCGGAAGTGCCACTCAGAAGCCGCCTCGGGACTCCGCAGGAGAGGCAAGAACTCAGGGCACTCGTGATCCCACCTCTGACGCTTCCCGGGCCTGCTTCAAGAGAGAAGCCAACATGTATCGAGTGTGAAAGGCAGCGACAAGGTGGCTACAACACAATGCGAAACCATGCGAGGTGGCAGGGCGGTCGATGAAACCGACCCCCGCTTGCCAGGAGTGGGAAGGCGTGAGAGATGTTTAGCTGCCCCCCTCCCCCTTTCCCCTCCCCTGGGGCCAAAAAACGCATTGGAGGGGGAGCTCGCTAGCACACCTCATCGGCTCTCTGGAGCCTCAGAGGAGCACCAAGACGGCCACATGAGCGCCGAAACAATCCACGAGAGCGTCGAGACGGACCCGTGTAACCCCGCACGGGTCCAAAACGGCCCCAAGACGGCCCACGAGGCCCCCGGAACGGCCCAAGAGTGCTCCCAGAGGGCCGCCCAGAGGGTCCTAAAGAGGCAAACATCACAGAATTCCTCTGGGATCGCGTGCGATTTCGACATGCACGCCCATTTCGTCTTGACAGCGTCCACTATGGCCCAAGGAGCCCCAAAGATCGTTCCAAGACGGACCATGAAGCCCCAAACAGCGCCCCAAGACAGCCCAATATAGCCGCAACCAGGCTCAAGAGGGCCCCAAGTTGGCCCCAAGGCCCCGAAGACAGCCCAGGAGGGCCCCAAGAGGACCCACGAGAACCAATACGAACTGACATCTCGAATCTTTCCCGCCGCGATGGCCCCAACAGCACCCCCGTGACCGCCGAGGCGCCCCCAGGAAACCCCAAGAGGCTTCCAAGAGGCACCCGAGAGGCCGCCGAAAGGCAATCACAAGGCGACAAGACCCCTCCAACAGGCCCCTGGGAAGCATCCCGCGAGACCCTCACCCACAGGACAAGAACGGTGGCACGACTATCGACAAATTCACTGTTATGAGGGTTGGCGGAATAACGCAAGCCTGTTGAAGAAATACAGCAAGCGCAACCCTACCCGTGAGGGCCTTTTGCACCTCTTCAAGGCGCCTTTCTTCTCTCGATCCTTCTCGGCCAGCACTTCATCGGCGTCCTTCTGAGAGCTTTTCAAGGCATTCTCGACAATGATGGCCGTGACCTGCAAAAAAACGTGCGGCACGGGGCAAGATATCTTGATATTCGCGCATTCCTTCGGCTGTTGTTCCTGTTCCCCCCCTCCTCCTCCTCCTCCTCCTCCTCCTCCTCCTCCTCCTCCTCCTCCTCCTCCTCCTCCTCCTCCTCCTCCTCCTCCTCCTTCTCCTCCTCTTCCTACTCCCCCTGTTCCTCCTGATCTTAACCATCAACACCCTGCCTCACCGGTATCGGTATACTGCACGCGGTTCCGTATGATATGTTGTCCCTCTCAATTGCCTCGGCATGGTTTCGTCCACTCCGCATGCATGCATGTGCCCCGCCATGCCTTTCCGAAGTGGCAAGCGAGCAGTCGCGACACTGAACTCTGGTGCTTGTCCGCAGGCATCTTTCTGGTAGCAACTATTCCGTGGATGCTGAAACTCGCCGAGGGGCATGAAGTTTTATGAGTCACTGCAGCCTCCGCTGTTCTGATCAAGGACGGAAGGAGGAGGAGGAGGAGGAGCAAGAGGAGCAAGAGGAGGAGGAGCAAGAGGAGGAGGAGGAGGAGGAGGAGGAGGAGGAGGAGGAAGCAGGGAAGAGGGAGAAGGGGTGGACCTGCGGGCCGACGCGCCACGCTCAGGAGCGGACCCCTGGCCGCCGCAGGCGGCGCAGCCAACAAACGCGGGGGGCATAAGAGCCAAGCCCAGAGCGCTCACGGGCGGCCGCGCCGCGTGCGCCGTCAGCCTCAAAGAGGCCGGGAGGGCGAGGAGGGGGCCCGAAACACTGCAGACACCGCGGGGGGGAGCCGCACAGAATAAGAGGGTGCATTCTCTCGCCCAGCCCTGGCGAGCGGGCTCCGCGCGCGCGTGCCGGCGCCTCCGCGCGCGGCGGCGGGGCTGACCTGCCGCCGGGCGCGAGGGGGCCGGCGCGCCGCGCTCAGGAGCGGGCTCCTGGCCGCCAGAGACGGCGCAGCCACGCCCCGGCTCAAAGCCCTTGCGAAGTGGCCAGGTTTCGCGGGCGGCCGCGAGTTGGACTGACCAGGCTGACGGCCCAGCGAAAAGAAAAGAGGGAAGTTGGCGACTGCTGGCGGAGGCGCGGAAGATCGCCTGAGCCCCAGCGGCCTCCGAAAGGGACGCGAGGGCGGTCGCGGCGGCAGCAGCCTGAAGATAGCGCTCAGCGCACGACGCTTGGCGCAACCTCCCGCGCCAGAAAACGCCAGGGACGCCTTCTGTAGCAATGTAGAAGTCAGTAGCACCCGAACCCCAGACCAAGCTCAGTCCAGCGGCGGCGTTTGCAAGCGGCGCGCCCAACGCCGAAACCAAGTGATTCCACCGAGTACGGAAGCCGCTCGCCCCGAATTGAGCGATCGGATCGGCGGGAGCGAAATGCCCAAACAAAAACACGCTCAAACAGGCCCACCGACCGACGACCCGAGCACCTCGCGTTTTGAATCGGGTAGGAGCGTCGGGCTGTAGGCGCCGCGATGGCCAGAAAAGGCGTCGCCCGCTGGCTCGAGACGGTCCGACGGCATGGAAAGGTCACGCCCCCTTGCCTTCGTGAGTTGCCCTGGACGCAGAGACTTAATGAAACCCATCAGCAGCAGGGCGGCCATGACTGGCCAGTCCCAGATGAGGCAGAGACCAACCGTCGCGCGCAAGAGTGCGCGAGGCAACGGTGGGCGGAGCTTGGGAGGCTCCGCAATCTTCCACTGGTTGGCAACGTCCCAAGCCCCTTCCAATGGGGGCGCGCCGACTGGGCGCCCGCGCACACGGACGCAACGAGGGAAGCCCGCGTCGCGCAACCAAGCTCTGGAGGCGGCCAGCGCTCGCGCCGAGAGCGCCCCACTTCGGTAGAGCGTGGTCGGCGCCACTCTGGCGTGCTCAACGACCCGCAGCTCGAACGCATCGACAAATCGGGATTTGCGATCAAGATAATCGGGAGCCAAATGGGAATCCCGAGCGAAGGGGCGCGCGCGGGGCTCGGGGCCGCGCGGCGCTAAGGGCGCTGAGCGCGCGGCCAAGCTACCTGGATGCGCCACCTCCGCGCCGCGAAGCGCGGCCCTGTGCGACCTGCGAATGTCGTGGGCGATCTGGACGGGAGCCGTCTGCCTAGGGAGCCCACAAAGGACGTACGCGCCCAGCTATGTACATGAACACGGCCCCTCGATTCGCGAGACTGGCCGCGTTATACAAACATTTGTGAAATGCGTGCTCTCGAAAACAGCGGGGATTCATGTATATGTACGTCCTTCTTTCGCTCCTGACTGCCGCTCTCCCCGCGCCCCCCGACCTGCCGCCTCGCGAGGTCGACGCGCGCGCTTGCGCTTCGCCGTGGCATCGGCGAGCTCGCGCCCAGCCGCCGCGCCCTCGGCCGCGCTGCGCACCTCGGGCCGCCGAGCGCAAGCGGGCGACCGGCAGGGCTGCGCGGGGCGTCGCGCAGCGAGCGTAGAGCCGCACGCTAAACGCGCGCGCGCAAGACGCGCTCGGGCGCGGCCCGTCGATGGGCTGAGAGCACAAAGGAGTGGCCAGCGGTTGTCTTGCCTTTGCGCCTCCCGTTGCCGCGGCCCCTCGTGCGGTCGAGAGCCTGGGCTGCGGCCCCCCCGCCTCCGGAGCTCGAGGCGCCCGGCCGCGCGCGGCTGCCCCCGAAGTCGATCGGCGGCGACTGGGCGCCGCGCAGGGCCGCGCCGGCGATCTCAACGGCCAGGTTGTCGCCTATGGCAAGAGCGCCGAGGCGCGGCGCGACGGCCGCGCCTGCCGGCTCAGGGCGCCAGGCCCGGAAAGACGTGAAGAGGCACCCCGGCAACCTGACCCGCGGCGCGTTCCGGCGACGCGCGCGGGGGGGGCGCGGCAGGTGCATTGACATCCTTCAGGTCGTCGCGGGGGATGACTTGCCACGCCCCTGGGCGAAGACCGAATCGGCGCAGCAGGGGCCCCTGGCCGAGCCCTGAAGAGCTCAGGGAACAGAGGGGCACCGGCCGTTGACGATTGCAGGCTTAAGAATCAGACGATCGTGAAGGGGAACTGGGACACACAAATAAATACACACAAATAAAAATATCCCCCATATTTTCCCATATGTTCTGGGTTTTTGTCTTCCCCCCCACTTCCCATATTTTCCTATATTTTCTGGGGGATCGAGGATTAATTGTGTCTGTGTGTTTCTTTCCCTCCTGAGATCGAGCTCGCTGTCGTCAGGGACTCGGGAGGCTCCGCGCGCCTCCCCCCGGCAGATCCGCAGCCGGGGCAGGGCGCAGGGCGCCGCTGGCGTGCATCTGACGGAGAGGGGCACGCGCGCCCCCCGCTGGCCCGCAGGCCACTCTGCCCTCGGGGGCCGCGGCGCCAAGGCCCCGACGCGCCCGACGCACGGTCGGATCGGGCGGAACACGAACGTGCCCAAATTCGGGCGAGTAATCCCACTTGACGCGGAGCGCCTTGACCTTGAGGTCGAGAGGCTCGACGCGGGCGGAGCCCCGCGACGCCGCGGCGGCGCGTGACCCGGGCGCGGGGGGCGCGGATGAGGGGCGCTGCCGCCTGGGCGCCGGGGCGGCGGAGGGGGAGGTGAAGGAGGCCTCCAGAGTTGCAACGTGGGCAGCCAGGCCACGGGGCGAGACCTCAGCGGCATCGGCCTTGGCAGGAGCTCGGAGGCGGGCGAGAGAAAGACGCCGGGGAACACCGCGTGCCCGCCCCGACCTGGGACAAAGCAGCAGGCCAGCGGGCGACGTCGATGCTCGCGCCTGGGAAGAGGCGCAGCAAGGAAGACAAGTCCGCTGCAAATGAAGCGGCCTGATCTGGTGGGCTTGTTTTCCACCACCACTACCGTAAGTTGGAGGGCGAGGGGGTCCTCCTCCTCCTCCTCCTCCTCCTCCTCCTCCTCCTCCTCCTCCTCCTCCTCCTCCTCCTCTTCGTCCTCCTCCTCCTCGTCCTCCACCTCCTTCCCCCCTCCAACTTATGGTGGTGGTGGTGGAAAACAGGCCCATGAGGCCCGATCGGCCGAAGCCGAGGCCAGGGGCGAGCCGGGGGCCGAGCGCTGCTTCTCGCGGCAGGAGCACAGGGGCTGCCTGCGGAGGGCGAAGGGCAGGGCGGTCCCCCCAAAGCAAGGGCAGGCAGGGCCCTCTCAGCGCCCGCTGGAGCGCCGCCGAGGCTAGGCGGGCCAACGCGGCCTGAAGCGGCGACCGCGCCATGGGCGGGCGGGCCAAGATCGCGCGGGAAGAACGAGCGCCCCCCTGCGGCGGCGCAGCGCCCTCGCTGGCGGCGCGCGCTCTTACCTTCGCGACCCCAACCGCTCGAAGAGCGCGGCTCGCAGACCCTGGTAGAGCACAGCGCCTCCCGCCTCCACCAGCAACTCCGCGGCGCGCTGCATCAGCGGGCCGCGAGCCGGGGGGGGCGACCACTGAACCGAAGCACTGCAGAGGCCGCGAGGGGGCCTCACAAAAAAAAGGAGCAGGAGGAAGAGGGAGAAAGAGGGAGGAAGAAGGAGAAGGAGGAGGAGGAGAAGGAGGAGGAAGAGGACGACGAAGAAGACGACGACGGCGGCTCCGGTTCTAATCGTACCAACTCTTTTAGCCACTCTCCCGTAGCTGTCGCACGTGCTGCTCGTGCTACGGACTTGCGTTTCTCAAATGGTGTCGCCTGGGCTCGCCTCCTGCCGTCCCAAGGGGCCTCCAAGAGGACCTCCAAGCAGGCCACAAGAGGCAAACATCAGGTGTTGTTCTCAGGATTTAAAAAGAGTGTGGCATTTGCTCGTGTTCGCCTGTCCGACGGCCTAAGACGACCCCAGAGGCCACCAAGCTCCCAAGAGCGCCCAAGAAGCCTCTGAGATGGCCCCAAACGGCCCCAGAGGGACGTCCCCACGAGGGCCCCAAGACGGCCCAGGAGATCTCCAAGACGCCCCGAACTGTTTCCAAGACGGCCCTGACGCGCCCCAAGAGAGGGCCCCAAGTCGGCCCAAAGAGGCCCGCAAGGAGGCGTCCGACGGCGTCAGAAGGGCCAGGAACGCTCCGAGACAGCCGAAGAGGCTCCCCCCCAA